CTAGTAAGATGAAGATGCTTCCACAGAAGGTGAAGCAGTGTGGACTTTGGTGTGCTTTAATAATGAACTTCCAGAAATCCTGGGTATGTTTGTGATCCTATTTCTAGGACTTGATAAAGCCTATGCTACTCTTCCTATGAACGTTGTTAGCAATGTTAGCTCTAGTTGGTTAATGCAACCTACCTATTCTGCTTACCTAGGTAGACTCAAGCCAATTCCAAAAACTGGTTCCCTAAATCTTACTGTTTATGCTGTCAGGTAGTGCTGTGCAACTGCTGGCTCAGAAATAACTGTCACATACCAGGCATACTAATTGAGAAAACAAAGGTTAGCAGTACTGAAACAAGTAGTATCTACCAGTGGCAATTAGTGGAGCACTGCTAAAGTTAGTTTACCTGAAGTGTATGAAAATGTTGCCTAAAAACCAAACAGAAACTCCTCATGTACCCTCAGAAACAGCTCCTTCCCATCCATCTTGATTCATCACCTATTGTGTTTTCTTCCGTACACAGTAATGGAGTGCTTTTATGCTCCCTTTTCCCCTAAAGTTTTATAGAATCCAGATTCATAATCAAAACAAAACACTCTCACACAAGTTTTTTGGGAATATATGCAAATGGTTTCATGGGTCTTTATCAAACTCTCAGATTATTCATTATGTGGATCACTATTGGTGCAAGAGTCTTGCCTTACGAAGCTGTTCCTCGGAAAGGATGTTACTGTCTCTTTATTAACTTGTTTGTCTCAAAGCTTTCTGGGAATGCATTTCCTTTTCTGTTGCCCCTCGGTCTTGTGGATTGGGTATTTTTATTATTATTAATGGTAACTCTAGCTCTTTGGGAATTCCTCTGCCTGAGAAAGTAAAACAACCACGCACTTAATTACTTTCAGCTATTAAATCTGACATACTTACCCATTTAACTGTGTCTGTACGGATTTACTTTGGAACACAGTAACTATCTAACTGCATTTAATCTTTTCACAGCTAACATAAACAGCTGATGAAATCTTAGTATTTTTAACAGTTAGTGATTGACAAGATTAGACTATTGTGACTCCCAGCTAGAGTAGCGCTTTGTGGTGTTCTAGCTCTGGCTTTAGGCATGGTATTCATTATTCCTCTGTCTCTGTCAGGTAAAGTGGTGATTCAGGATTTTGGTGCTGGAGGAAGTCTAGTTGGGTGGAAGCTCCCTGCTCTGACCGGCACCTAGTTTCAAAGCAGTTGGGAATTGAGCATCTGGATCAAATTAGCTTTGAAATCCTGTTTCACTGTGTTTATGCTACGGTTGTTTGCCGGTTGTTATCTGGGAAAAGTTAATTGTACTCCTGGTTGCTTAGGCATTTGATAGTGTTGCAAGATAATGCAGTTGCTCTTGTGAACTGCGAGATTACTGGACAAGCTGGAACTTGTGTATTTCCAAAGTACTGGAAAAGCAATGAATGTTACTTGGCAGGGGTGGAAAAGCTGTTGAAAGGCTATTAGGTTGCAATCCTTTTTTTTTTTCCCTTACTCCACGCACACTGTCTGATATGTTGCATGCATTTGTCTTTCACAGTTTCTTAGTGAATGTCCTTTTGAGAAAAGGAGTCTTGAACCCAGTAGTAACTTTTTTTGAGTCTGTGCAGCAGTGTCACCTGCTGCTTGGCACTATTTTTGGTGTCCACCTTTCTGTAAGCAGCGCCTTTTTTAAGGAAAGTTTGTAGTCTGAAACTTCTCAATACTGCAGTCAAGAGTTTCTGGGAAAACAGCAAAGAGGAAAAGACCTAACTCCTTGGTTTCATGTCACTGAGGAACTTCTAGCCTCATTAAGGGGGCTAGAAGTTATTGCAGTGCCTGACTTTTTCTGAACCAAATATATAGACACCTGCTAGATCTCTTAGACCGAATAGAGTCTGTAACTTTTCCCATCTCCTGGAGTGAGTGCTGAATTACTAACCACTTACTATCTTCTTCAGTGGTAGAAGGTGGTAGTGGTTATTGTAACAAATAAGTTATAAAGGTGGTCGCGTCCATGGAAATCAGATGCAGGTGATAGGTCTTCAACCAAATCTGGACTGATACTCACTTTAGGAGTTGTCATGATCTGCCATGCAGGAGTCCTGAAACCTCGATCTCTTAACTAGGGAAAAACAGACTTTAAAAGGTGTGTTCATTTCAGAGTGAATCAACATGTTAGTTCATAATTTAAAATTAAAATCTGAAGAGCTTCTATCTAAAACTACTGGATTAAGAAACTCTGCTGCTTTCTTAAACGTGGTGCATGGAGCAGTTACTTCAGTCTTAGCACTTGCACTTCAAATCTGCTAAAATGCAGTTCAGTATTTTCTGATCTGTATTTGAGAAGTGGATAGTGACCATAAATGGGCAAAATACTTCAATGAGCTCTCCAACTGTAGCTTCCCCCCCCAAAGGAAATGAATGCAGAGAATGTATTAATTGTTTGGGACTGTCCATGTGACAGCCTTATCTTCTCAGGCAAGCCCTTTTAAAAATAAGGGTATGTGTTAAATACGATGGAGTTCTTAAAAACAACATCTTCTTTAGTAAAACTCTTACTAGAAAATGAAGTGCCAAATAAGTTAAAAATGCAGAGTTTTTAGTTAATAAAATAGTTAATATCTGAATTTGTGTTTTCATGGTTTTGAAAAACTTGGATTAAAGCAGTTGGAAAGTTTAAGATGAACTGATGTTACCAGCAAGCTGTACTTTGTGAAATCTTTCATGGGGGACTATGTCCCGAGCTTGGAAACAAACTTGAGAGTACTTGCATATGCTCAAAGTGTGTAAGTCATAGGTGAGCTGAGATTTACTGTTGTACATATTCAAAGAACGTATGGATCATCATGAGAGCTCTGTACTAACACTTGTATGGGTTGCAGAGTATTCAAGCAGAGTGAGTGTGAGTTGTATCTGAAAGGTGGAAAAGCATTAGTCTGACTGTCCTAAACACAGGAGTGAAATACGAAACGTGAGAACCTTCCTTCACTAAAGCAATGTTCCTGTTGGGCTATGCTGTCACTGCTATCATTGAAGTTCTTTGATCTACCACTGTAGAGTGCTTGCATGCAAGTATAAAAAAAGGCATCTGTTGTCTGCTCAGGCATCCAAACAATCTTGTAACTCTTACACATTCTTTCCTGTTAAGTAACTTCTATCATTATACTCCTTATTTAAATTTGGATACTTGACAAAGCAGTATCTTGTGTTCATGTGTAGCACACAGAACATGTTAGGTGATCCACAAGTTTCCAGTAGCAAATTAGGTAATGTGGTGAGTTCTCTAAGCGTAAGCTGTGCAACAGCGGTAGACTTTTTTCTGCTTGTTGGCTATATCAAAACTAAACAGCACAAGTAATTCCAAGTAAAAATTATTTTGAGAATTGAATTTTATTTTATTTTAGCTTACTTATTTAAGAAACTCTCTCTGTTTAGGCTG